ACCCTAAACCCTAAACTCCTAAACCCTAAACACCTGCCCTGAGCCCTTCACTCTACAGCAGAAATTTCAGAGATCAGGCATGCCAGCTTGTCACTTTCGGCAACAGCAGCCTGCTCGAAGCCAACTCCTCCGAGTTCTTCGAGGTGCTTGGTGTAGGGTTTAGGGTTTAGGGTTTAGGGTTTAGGGTTTAGGGTTTAGGGTTTAGGGTTTAGGGTTTAGGGTTTAGGGTTTAGGGTTTAGGGTTTAGGGTTTAGGGTTTAGGGTGAGGGTTGAGGGCATGCATGGTTTGTGTGTCATTGAGCTCCGAACCCCGATGGTTTTGGGATAAGTTGTTCCTAAGTGGCAGCTGTTGCCTAAACCCCTAAACCCTGAACCCCAAATCTCTGGTATTTTTCCTTTTCAGCCATTCCCATGCGCGCCTACACCCGAACCCTTTGAGTGCCGATCTAGGGTCGACTTTAGGAACCCCAAGCCATTTGCTATTGCCTGGAGTTTAGGGTTCTTTAGGGTCTAGGGTTGAGGGTTGATTAGGGTTTGGGGTTTAGGGTCTAGGACCTAGGGTTGAGGGTTTAGAGGGTTTAGGTCTGAAGGTTTCGGGTTTAGGGTTCAGGGTCAGGGTTATTTGGAGTACATCCCTTCTAAGCTCCTTGAATCAACCTACCTTGAAAAGGGGTTCGGAGTGCCGGGTTTAGGGATGTGAGTTTCGGGTCACGTGACCCGGGCTGTGAGTTGTGGCAAATAACCCCGGGTCATGTGAAACAGGTCATGAAGAAGAGGTTTTAATTTCCAAAACTGACCATGCAAAGCATCGCCGTGCCAAAAGCATCTGTAAAACCATCGAAACAGCGACAAAGCCAGGACGAGATGATCGCAGACGCGGACTTTCCTGGGTGGGGGCCTCCGTGTGTGGGCTGTGCCAAGTCGCTCAACCCAGATGTTACGGGCTTCGGGGCTTTAGCCAGGGCTTCAGCTGTTAGGTGTGTCAGCCCTAATCCGAAAAAACCTAAACCCTAAACCCCAGGCCTCTGTTCGATTCTGAGGCGGAGGGTCCTCCGATGTCTGGTGCCTCCTGCAATGCCCATGCCGCCGGCCGGAGCCTCAACATTACGGGTTTCGGGTTTCGGGTTTAGGGTTTAGGGTTTAGGGTTTAGGGGTCGATGGTGCGAACTGCATCCATCTGGCCTCGTCTTCGTAGGCTGCATTTCTGGCCATGGTGACCTAGCTCAGCGCAATCCGCGACAATTTAGTCCTCTCATTTGGCTCCTCCACATCGGGCCATGCAGCTCATACTGCGAACGTCAGAGTGCCTGTTGCGATCTTCAGACCTTCGAACCCTAAACCACACCCTAAAACCTAAATCCCAAACCCTCGAGCCCTGGCACCCAAAATCCCGAAATTGCCTCGAAGGCCTGTGCGTTCTTCTCGCATCTCATGGGCTGTCCACTGGTGGAAGACCAGGTGTCTGGCACGTTGAGGGTTGAGGGCGTAGGGTTGTAGGTGCTAGGGTTTTAGGGCTTTAGGGTTGTTGGGTCTTTTGTTGGGTTGTAGGGTTTTAGGGTTTTAGGGTTTTAGGGTTTTAGGGTTTTAGGGTTTTAGGGTTTTAGGGTTTTAGGGTTTTAGGGTTTTAGGGTTTTAGGGTTTTAGGGTTTTAGGGTTTTTGGAGTTTTTGGGGCTTCTGTGGTTTTTAGGGTCTTAGGGTTGGTTTTGGAGGGTTTAGGGCTTTGGGGCTTACAGCTTCTCCGAGGATGCCAAGAGCAAGGGTTTGGGCGGGGTATCAGAAAGACCCGAGGCGATGGCAGGTTCTCCTGAGTTTAAGGTTTAAGGTTTAGGGTTTAGGGTTTAGGGTTTAGGGTAACTTGAAGCCGGCAGCCCTTGCACCCCAAATGAACCCTTACACGGCAGGCTGAACTTGGTAGAAGTGCCGCATGTGCGCCTACATACCTGAGATTCTGCAATCACGCCTTGGCACAGTAAGCCCTAAGCCCTAAACCCTAAACCCTAAGCCCTAAACCCTGAACCCTGAACCCTGAACCCTGAACCCTGAACCCTAAACCCTAACCTAAACCCTAAACCCTAATTAAACCTTAAACCCGAAACCCGAAACCCCACACCCAACCCAAACCTGCAGAATCCTGCTTGTGGAGGCCGTCTTGATTTCCGTGGCCGGATATGTGCTGCTGACATCTATTGAAACCCTCCACGGGCTTTGGGGTCTATAGGGTTCAACCCCAAACCTTGGGACCTGAAGGCTTGAGGGCTTTCAGGCCGGCTGAAGACCGTGTGCGCTTTTGGTGGCCGTTGCTGTGCGATTGAGAGCCTCGGGTTTAGGGATTAGGGTTTGGCAGGATAGTTGAGAAGATGGTGGGATGGGCCTCGCAAGTGTTCAAATGTAACTGGCCCCTCCACGTTTCAGTTCCTCGACTTTCGCAGTGGACCGGAACCATCAACCCGAGCAATTCGAACGACGTAGTTCAGAGTTCATGCGTGCGCCCCGCTAGTAGCCCTGAAGACCTAAACCCTAAAAACCCTAAACCCTAAAAACCCTAAAACCCTGGGAAGACACATTAGAGTCAACACCCCCAAAGTCCTGCGAAGATTTGACCCCGGAGCTCAGTACCCGCAAGCCCTACAGGCTCTAAACCCTAAAAACCCTAAAAACCCTAAAAACCCTAAGAACCCTCAAAACCCTAAAACCCCTAAAAACCCTAAAAACCCTAAAAACCCTAAAAACCCTAAAACCCCTAAACGCTAATTCCCGCAGCCGAACAACTCGTTTCACGTTCTGGCCGAGCTGGGCCAGAGAAGTGAGTCTGGGGTTGATCCGGGTCCCCAACTCCACCCCTTGAAGCCTTTAAGCCCCAAACCCTAAACCCCAAACCCCAAACCCCTGAACCCCAAACCCTAAACCCTGAACCCTGAACCCTAAACCCTAAACCCCAAACCCTGAACCCTAAACCCCATGGCAGGCTACAGATTGGAACTTCACTTACGCCCGATCCGCCACGCCGCTGGTCGACACCATCGCGCCCCTGCAGCTCTCCGCAGCGACGAGTCGGAACCCCGGGTTTAGGGTTTGGGGTTTGGGGTTAGGGGTTTGGGGTTCAGGGGTTTGGGGTTCAGGGGTTTAGGGGTTTGGGGTTTAGGGGTTTAGGGGTTTGGGGTTTGGGGTTGAGGGAGGTGGTGGCTTGTTCATGTCTGTGGGTTGGGTTCGGGTTTAGGTGTTGAAGATTCAGGGCGTTCGGGGCTAAAGAGTGCAGGTTTTTTGGGGATACTTTGAGGGTCGTCCGGGTTATCGAGTCTTGGTCCTGCGACTGTTTGCCTTCCGAGCTGCCGGTGGCGCTGCGCCTCAGAGTGAATGTAGGCTTTAGGGTTTGGGGTTTGGGGTTTAGGCTCTAGGCTTGAGTAGGGTCTGCACCCCCCACTGTGAGCAATTAATCCGAGAGCCTACCCCAGCCACCTCTACTGCCAGCTTCTATGAACGAGGCGGCTTCATTCACCTCACCGGGTGGGGCTTTCCCACAGCTTCACGCCCCAGTCTCAGCGGTTGTGCCTCCTGAAAGCTTTTGGAAGGCTGTTTGTGGCATTGTTCTTCAGGTTTGCTATGCTTACTGTTGTGTTCCAGAAAACGGTACGCATCCGCTTGCATCCGGTGGTACCTTGAAGCAAGAAGCCATGTCGGCATGTGTGAGGATTTGCTGAGAGGTTGCTCGTGACACACGTACTGGGATGAGACTTGCGTTGGTAGCCGAGATGAGGTGCTTAACATGCCGTACGGACGAGGTTCAGCCTAGCGATTTGAAAAAGAGTTCAGGGTGGAGGATTGTGCTTAGGGCAGTTTCGCGATCCCAACTGCCCCGCTGCAAGCATCCTAACCAGGCCTCCCGTCAGCCCTCTAAACCCTAAACCCCGAACCCTTAAGGCCCTCAGCCCTCAACCTGAACCCTAGACCCTCAACCCTCAACCCTCAACCCTCAATCCCACACACCTCAGGTCTGCCAGGAGGAGCCCCACCTTCGGCCAAGGACCTGGCACCGGGCTCAGCGGTTGCAGGGGGTGTAGGTGGGGGGCCCAGGGGGGCCAAAGGGGACGGTTCGGTAGGGTTTAGTAGGGTTTTGAAGGGGGTTGGGGTCTGGGGTTTAAAGGGTTGAAGGTTTGGGGTTTTTATGGCTTAGGGTTTATTCGTTTATCGGGGTTTGGGCAGGATTTGGGGGGGGCGCGAGGGTGCTCCACCCTTTTCGTTAGGTGATGGTTTAGGTTCAGGGTCTCTGGGGGGGTACAGGGCGTAGAGGTCAAGCTGAGTTTGTTTGGAACGATTATCGGAGTAGCACCGTTGCAGGAGTTGGTCGGAATTCCAATAGAATTCGGCCCAAACCCTAAGCCCTTGACCAGACATTCGCCGAGGTGGTGCGCGTGGCTGGACACCGCTGCCGTATCGAGGCTTTGACCGTAGGATTCTTTTTCTGCCTTCAGAAAGTCATGCGGTTAGGGTTTAAACTTAAAGCCTGAGCCCTAAACCCTAAAACCTACTCCCGAGGATGTGCGGACTGATGCTTTTGGGGCTTCAGGGCCCAAAAGCCCTAAACCACAAGCTTTTAGGCTTTAGGGTTTAAAATTCCTAAACCCCTAAACCCGAAACTCCTAAATCTAAGCGGCACTACGCCTTGAGCCCCCATCCCAAAACGCTAAACCGAGAAAGAGCTCCAACCGTGAGGCTTCTTCCTCGACGTCGTTGACTTGCTTCCTCTCTAGGACTGCCTGGGTGCGAAACCCAAAACCTAAACCCTAAGCCCCAGAACGTAAACCCTAAACCCTAAACCCAACGGCATGTGTGATGGGCAAGGTGCCAGGCAACCGGACGTGTGCCTCATGCATGCCTCGTGAGTCCATGAGTTGCACCTGTGCGTGTGGATGTGCAAAAAATTGACCTTGCATCTACACGCCCGCAGCAGCATGCTTTGAGCATCCAGATTTATAAATACTAGAACGCTGCTGAAAACCACATGGCTGAAACGGGTGAGATGGCTGAAGCTGCGCTTCTGTCCAGTGAAACTGACAGCGAGTCATCTGCCGACTCCCTGGGCCAGTGGACGACGCTCACTGCACGCCCACCATTTGCTGTTGCTCGCAAGATGTGCGGGGCTGCGTTGAGTTTTCGCAGGGCTCTTTTGGTTGTGTTCACTTTGGTCCAGATCTTTGCAATCTTGACGTTATACCCCGAGTTGCATGATGAATGGTTCACATGGGCCCTGGTCGGACTTCTAGTGAGCCTGGTGATCTTCAACGTGTTGGAGACGTTGTTTTCCTTCGATCTTGGTGGCCCGAGGCGGTGGCTTGTGGGGCTTATCTTGAACGCAGCGATTCTGGTCCCATACGCCACTCTCTCGTTCAGGTGTGCAGTTGGAATTTTGGCAGCGGTATCGACGCTTGTATGTGTGCAGCAAGTGGTGGGGCGCTTCGTAATGCATCGCCCTGGCAAAAATCAGTCCTTCGTGGTAACTACGTGCTACCAAGACATTGAGAAGCCCTTCATGAGCAAGGCTTGTCCCGTTTTCGTCTGCCAAGTGCTCCTGTTTAATTTCGCACTGTTGGACATGAGCGATCGGTTTGCAGCGAAACCTCGTGAGCGTGCGCGAATTGTCGAAGTGGTGGGCTACCTCTTGTGGCCAGCCTCAGGCATGAGCCTTGAAGAGCGACATCGCGTTGGGGGGATTCTGAGGGAAGGGTTCTCGCTGACCGGCCAGCAGTGGGTCTTCTGGTTGGCGGCCAGGGTGATTCAGGAGGTAGCCGACCTCACGCAGTACGGCAGCGAAGACATGCTGGAGGAATTCCCATTCTTCATGTTTCTGTGGCGGCTGCGGGCCGGTGCACGGCTGCAGATTGACAATGGCGAGGTGTGTGAAGTTCCCTCCAAAGCAAGACTTGGTTTTCGCATGTTCGCATCTTGGACAACCAACTGCTTCATTCGAGAGTTTTTGCACTACCTCCTGCCGGTGCTACTGATGAATGCAGACTGCTACTTGGACTTCATTAAGGATGCTTTTGCCATCGCATTCGTGGCCAGCGCCTGAGTTGTTGCAGTCAGGTGCTTGGGCATGCCCCGGCCATGTTCGTTGATTCCAACGTTAAGAAATCGCCGCATCCCATCGCAGGTGGGCCTTGACAACCTGGGCACTGAGAAGACCTTCACAAAGCTGGCGGATGACGATGAGTTGCACGACTGTTAGTTGCATGTCGGCCGAGGCCAAACTTTTTAGCGCCAGTCGACACGAAAGCTGTCTCGCACATCCACCTTAGCTACATGACATTGGGGTTTCCGAAAATGGGGGTACCCTTTTGGGGCCCTTTAAATTCCATTTGGGGTATAAACGGGGTGCCCCTATTTTGGGGAAATAGCCACATGGCTGTTGCAGCTTGCACTCGAAACCCTAAAACCCGAAGACCATGGCAGGAGGCAGCCTTTTCTGGTGGCCAATCTGCGTGCGCAAGTGGAGCCACCGTCTCAGTGGTCAGAGCACGTGCTGCTGAGTTTCTTGCCAGTTGCGGGAGGATCCCTAAACCCCAGAAACCTAAGCCCTAAACCCTAAACCCTAAAACCCTAAAACCCTAAACCCTGCAGTACCCTATCCAGACCCCGGGAGGATTCAAAAAGTAGAGCCCCCCAAATAATACCCTATACTACTATTGGATCAATTTTAGGAGCCCTTCAGGGGATCAATTTTTTGGATCCTCCGCGCAACCCGGAACCCTAAGCGCGAAACCTTGAACCCTAAACCATAAACCCTAAACCCTAGACCCTAAACCACCCTAAACCCTACAGGCCTGCACAAAGGAGTCTGCGCTCAAACCCTGCATTTGAGGCTCTGGGTTCTGGGAGCCGGGCATGCTGTTCTTCTACCGCGGCTCCCGGCGTGCTTTTTGTCGTGGGTTTTGGGTTAGGGTCCAGGGGTCAGGGTTCAGGGTCTAGGGTTTAGGTTTTAGGGATAGGGTCGTCCAGGATCTGGGGTTTCATTAGGGTGCAGGGTTCAGTTGGGGGGGGCGCTCATGAGCCTGGAGGGTTGATTGACTTGAGTGTTTAAGGGGGCTTAGGGGCTTTCATGGCTTCAGAGCTTACTTTGGCTTGGTCGGCTTTGGGGGAGGGTGGGGGGTGGGGTTTAGGGCTAGATGACTTGGCTGTCTTGGCAGGGTTGCATGGAGGACTTGTTTTACATGGCTTGACGGGTTTGAGAATTTAGGCGGCGTTTCGGGGCTCGGGGAGGGGGGGGGAACCGAACCACACGGGGGAAAACACAACTGGACCATTTGTGTGGGCTGGCCCAAACGAGAGACAACACAACTGGCTCTTGCGGTGCCAATGTAAGTTGGACATGCCCTGCAGACAACCCATGGTACAGCCTTGAGGTTTCAGCACCAAATCTTTATAATGATGGTTGTGATTCGTCCCTTCTCTTTCCGCCATAGCACACATATGGAATATGCCACGTAATACCTAAGGCTCAATACAGAATTGGGATTATTTTGCTCAATATAGTACAATACAATATAATATCATATATATATATATATATACGAGAATTCAATACTAAACTTAACACTCAATATGAAACATCTGTTGTATATGAAAGGGTTGCAATCTAATCTAGCCTAACCTAATCTAATCTACTCCAATCTAACCTAATCTAATCTACTCTAATCTAGCACAACATAATAAAGATAGATAAGCGATAATATACGGTATATTATGCCTAGTTGATGCACCACATACATATATATATATGTTCGTCTATATGACACACATGTATCTATAAGATGCAATTATAATATACAATATATGATACAATCTGTAGAACCTTGGCATCCCAGACTCAAAAAATCCCACTTAGACTGCAAAGACCCCCAAGACCATTGGCCCAACAAACACCGAAGACCCTTGGCGTCATCAGTTGTATGAACACCCATCTGGTTGCATTTTCACCCATCTAAGCCAATTTTTAAAGATTTTTGTTGGGTTTTCGCCCATCTGGTTGTATTTTCACACATCTGGTTGTAACTCGCCTTATTCTGGGGTGGGGGGGTTTAGGGGGTTAGCAGCCTGTACCTGCCAGGGGCATCTCCATTGATGACACTTTTGCAGTTTCAGAGGCCCCCGGCATCCTTTCTCTTAGAGCAAGAAGGGCCAGATCAAGAGTGTTGGCCAGCACAGCTCGCCTGAGCGGCTCTTTGGAAGAAGGAATCCTCCAAGTAGCATAAGCCACACCAAAGTGGTACCAGTAGCGAACTAGGTATGCTATCATCCATGAGTTTGCGGGCATTTTGTGGCTGCAATGTTGGCCTTATATATGGTCCTCACGGAGCATTCTGACCCTAACCCCCCTAAACCCTAAACCCTACACCCTGAACCCCAAACTTGCAGCCTTTGACTCTACAGGCTCAGCGAGCATTAGTCCTTCTGGGCTCTGTTCAAAGAACTTAAACTAAGCTACCATAGTAAGGGTACCATATTACAATGTGGGTACACAGGTTTTCTGTTAATATACCCTCCGAGATAGTATAGACTTCTTCTCGGAACCCTTCCAAAAGGCCCCCCCCCCCCTCCGCTTTTCTCGGAAATTCCTATGTAAACTCCATCATGGTGAGAACCCTCGGCCCTGAAACACTTCAGCCCTCAACGACAAGGTCTAGGGCTTCGGGCTTAGGCTCACGGCTTTTCGAGCCTCGGGCGTGGGGCGGGCTCAAGGCTTAGTATGCCCGAAGTCTGAACCGTGTGGACATCTTTGGGCACTCAGCGCCCTTGAGCCCGGAGCCCCACCCACGTGTGAGCCCCCGCCGTGCGTGAAGGTGACGCCAAGTCGCGGAAGCCTGCATGGCGGTGTGGCCCTGGACGTGAGTGTTGTGCTCAGTGGGATTTGCTGCTTTGCTTTGCTGCTGTGGCGTCTAAAGCACAACGGTAGAGTCTCTGGACTGTGGTAGCTACAGCAACGAAGTAAGCCCTCATCGGCTTAGGGTTTAGGGTTTAGGGTTTAGGGTCTAGGGTTTAGGGTTTAGGGTTTAGGGTTTAGGGTTTAGGGTTTAGGGTTTAGGGTTTAGGGTTTAGGGTTAGGGAGAGGCCTGAGTGGCAAGATGCCCAGGTGGCTATGGCTTCGACGCGGACCCCTTCCGCCATGAGGTCTTCATCCGCGTGGTCCTGGCCAACGGCACGATCCAGGAGTGCTGTTTGTTGCCAAACCCTAAACCTAAGCCCTAAACCCTAAGGATGTTGGTCTTGATCTTCAGGAATTCTCTGCTGATGTTTTCGTAGGTCCTCCGACCTCGACGTGCGCAAGAACGGTCTGAAGCCCCAAACCGGAAACCGAAACTGCATGCAACCACACCTTTGGGTCCTGCGTGAGGGAACATTGGTGGTTGGTAGTGCCCTGTCCTACCCACAAACCCTAAGCCCAAAATCTCAACTAAACACCGCCCATCCCCCTTGAACCCGAGAGCTTCCAAGGCCCTTCTCGAATCTTTGGATTAGACGACCCCCAAGGAGCCGGCAAACCCCAAGCCCGGCTTTAGGCCCACTTTCAGCTTTAGGGTCTCAGCGTTACTCCGCTCCCGTATGTCAAGGACGTGCCGTGTCCACTTCTGCCAGCTCCATCGTTGCAGGGCCGAAGGCTGCAGTGTCAGGCGCTGCGGGTCAGGCTTAGAGTTCTACAGTAGGGTGTTACAAGGTTGATTATGGGGTCAGGGTCTAGGGCTTCTGGCGCCAGCGTAAACAAAAAGCCCTATAAACACCTTAAACACCAGGCCCACTGCACCAAAAACGCACCTCAAAACACCAAGAGCCGATGAAGGTGAGCTAAATGCCTCAGGAGGTTCCCACAGAGGCTGGAGTACTTTTTGTCCTCAACTGCGCAGAAGGATGTATGTGGGTTTACAATTTTTGGGGTTTAGGGTTGAGGGTTTGAGTGCTTAGGAGGTTGAGGGTTGGCCCCCAAACCCCAAACCCCAAACCCCAAGCCCCAAACCTCAAACCCCAAACCCCAAACCCCAAACCCCAAACCCCAAACCCCAAACCCCAAACCCCAAACCCGAAACCCGAAACCCGAAACCCTAAACCCTAAACCCTAAACCCTAAACCCGGGGCCTCGGATTCCCTCGCAGGCTCCAGCCTTGCCCCCGGAGCTGCTGGACTACACCAGGCGCCCGAAGCTGCAGCTGAAGGGCATGCGGAACGGCGTTGAGCGGGTTTAGGGTTTAGGGTTTAGGGTTTAGGGTTTAGGGTTTAGGGTTTAGGGTTTAGGGTTTAGGGTTTAGGGTTTAGGGTTTAGGGCCGAATAAGCCTAAACCCCGAAGACCGAAGCCCTGAACCACTAGATTGATTGCGACATTGCGATCCAGGAGACAGGAGCTTTCATGAGCTTGTTCATCGGCGGTTTAGGATTTTCTGAAGGTTTAGGGTGTAGGTGACCAAGGAAAGACATTGGCGTCATCAAGCATAGGCCTTGAACCCCGCAATCGAAGCCCCAGACAATTCCGATGTCGAAGCACCCCCCAAACCCTAAACCCTAAACCCTAAACCCCCCCCACTTCTCTAACCCCTGCTCCTAAGATTCAGGACGGCCCAAGAAGGAGGATTGGAGGAGGCGCGAAGCTTGCGGCATGCAACTGTTTCCTGGGAGGGGGATTGGACTGAAGGGGATTGGCCACACCAAAATTGCAAGCCCTAAAAACCCTAAAACAAAAACCCAAAACACCCTTTAAACGTAAAGGCCCAAAACCGAATGGCAATTCAAAGCCGGTGGCCTGTACCAGCTTCCGGGTCGCGTCACGGTGCGGCTGAATGGGATCGAGTCGTCTTGCAGTGGCCTCGGTCCTCCACTCTGTCAGAGCTTCGTGGGCCTTGGGGATTTCGGGCTTGGGGCTTGGGGTTCAGAAGTTACGGTGTAGGGCTTGAATCGTTCAGAAAGCAGCTACTTTAACTATGACCGCCTGTTGTGGAAAGTGTCCCTAAGACCTAAACCCGAAATCCTAAACCCTAAGCCCTAAACCCGCTACACTCCATAGAACTCTATGGACTAGGGCTAAACCTCGGCAAAACCCAGCTGCTCAAACACACTCTACACACCGATGGTAAATTGTTGTATGCAGATGGTGCAGTTGTCCCAATGTAAGTACCTAGGAACCATGGTAGACTGGCAGACCCCCACCAAAGCCGCTCTTTCACCGCAAAACTCAAGCGCACAAG